TCCTTCAATTTCAATTTATCGTCACCTATCTTTGCACACTTAACTACAACCATGGTATAATTGTATTTTGCCATATATAAAAAAATACTGTTGAATTATGACACAACAGCCTTATAACAGGTTTTACACGAGTCGATTTTAGTTGATGAAATGCTAATTCGCATGCGATTTGAACTGTCTGAATAGACTTTCAATCTAATTGAAGCAAGAAAAGTTTTGATTAAATCAGAAAGCGTTTGATTTAATTTAACACTACCGTTCTTATCAGAAATTGTTATAACTTTTAATAACCAGTATTATCGAGAATCCCTAAAAAGAAAATTTGAACTGCTAAGAGGTTTTTGGTTAACATGGGACGTCAACGCCTCATTGATAAACAATTACAACGTACGCTCTTTGATCGCTAGCAGTAAGTGTTCTGTCAAATGAAAACATTTTCAAAGATAGAGACTTGTGTTTTTTGTCAATCTACACCCATTCATTCCGAGTTCTATACCAGTGTATAAATCGGTTTTCATTTTATTTTTTGTTGCAACAGTACCATTAATATAGGTTTAGAGTCACCGTTAACAATATATTTACTCTCTACTATGAATACTTATAATTAAAACACAATCAATTAAATACAAACTAACTCAAATTCTGAATCCTTCTATGAAATTTGTTTTAGTCATGAATTAATCATTATTTCTAAATTATCACTCAATACGAAACCTCCTCTGAGTAATGGCGTAATAAAATCTCGGCATAGAGAAACAGGTATGCACTCCACAGACCAGAACCAAGGAGCTGCCCATCCAGGTGTATCCAGCAGAGCCTTCCGGCACTACCCACTTTAGATAATGAATGCGTAATACACACTGCTAATGTAATTCGATAATTATAAACAATATGGAATGGATGCACAAGAAAATCGATATTGAGAAACCAATATTGTGTAATAAGAAACGGGTAGTGTTGGAGTAAGATTATAAGTAGTATAAAAAAATGTAATACTATCCCTCAAGGATCTCATTTGGGTCCCGTGTTTTTCATGATCTAGTATTGCTTTAGACATAATTTATACTCAGATGAATTAAATATCTAACACTATCAGATAGCCATATATCATGGTAAAAAATATCATAATCCATGAATTAAATTATACTTCGATAGGCTTTTGAAATATGGAGTTTTGATGTAAAAGATAACGAAGCTTAAATAAATGAAAATTATTGTATAGTCTAAGAAATAGCATACCCACTACGAAATGAACTCGTATTTTGTGAAACTAAATCTGCAAGTATGAAATCTTACTAAGTTTAGTTATGAAACAATGGAGACAACTGCGGCTTTCGCAAGTCTAGCCTGACTAAATTTTTGAAGAATGACTATTTTTTTATTCACTTACTACTACTAATAAACTGAATGGTTATGAAAGTTGTGGAAAATTATTACGAAATTGATTTGTCAAATAGTAAAAGTAAATGCCTATCTATCTATCCATAACTACAATAGCGTTGAAAGTGTTTACAAAAACATTCTACAACCGGTTTATTGCTTAATCGAAATAAGTTTGGGAGCTGTTAATCTCTGCTCAGTCATCGACGACTGTCAGTTACGCTTTAATTGGCTAATGTGACAATTATATATCAGTAACATTATCAGAGCGTCACATATTTGTTTCGTTGTAAAACGATCTGTAACATGTGAAGCATAGGGTATTGCACAACCAAACTTAACTTGACACATCATACTTCTTTTTTCGTATAGACTACTGAACAAATGAAATATCTTACAAGTTTACCAACACATCGAATGCATTTGTAAAGTTCTAACTCAAAATCCGTTCCCAAACTTAGCGAAGTTCTTGTGATATCATTCCTTGTAGAAATACGAAAAATCATTGACAAATCAATCACTTAAATGGAGAGCATTAAATCAGTGAATCATTTACGTTAACATATTTAGCTTATTGACAAAAGCCCATCCATATCCCAATGAACTCACTGCAAGAACTCCGCTATAATATAATGTTACTTAGATGCAGTCTTTACGTGATGATGAACTGAAATTATCACTATTAAAACCTGAGAAGTAATGATAAGAGCATCGCAAGTAGTTTTAAATCGTTCCGCTTTGAAAGACATCGTTCCCAGCAGATCGTCGAAGTAAAACGTGAAATTACCATACAAATAAGTTACCCGTAACAGGTCCATAGTGGTTCGTTCCTCCTTCTTGCTGGCGCGCAGCCGACCACAGCACATTAGATGGAGCAGCCACGTGTGACATCCAGTACTGCACCATCCCACAGACGATACAAAGCTTTAGAAAAGACTTTTAAGCAACGCAAATGGGGTTTCTTTGTACCAACGAATTGATATAGTGCATAAGATAGAAGCGAAGCCATACTCATGTGAAATTTGTAACTGGCATGTAAGAGAAAAAGCAGTCAATACCAAGTCTAATATTGGACCACCCGGCTGCTCTGTCTCTTTTACACTTGCTTTTGTTTTATTTAAGATGGTTAGGGAACATAGTCCATTCTCTATGTCATAATTGAAAACCCATTTTTTAATTATTATTTCCTTTTTTGTTAAAGTGAAACTTCTACAACATCGCCGCAATTATTTCCGTTCATATTTAGCGTGTCGCCTACTACCTTTAACTTAATTTTTATAAAAAAATCAGAAGCATCAGTGGTTGATAGCTGCTCTGCTAGGCCAGCTCAAGAAGGACTTCTTTTTATTAATGATTTTATAAGTTTCACTTGCATTGTGGTTTCAAATCACATAATTTTTTAGGTTATTTTCCTTAATATTAAGTTTGAGTGCTTTTATCTAGTGTAAGTGTAATAATGACCCTAAAGTCGTAAACGTGCCAAGTAGTCATTATAGTTACCACTTTTATCATCTTTTTTTATATGCCATTAGCCGTATTGTGTAATAAACCTTTTTCAGTGACATCATCTACCACTCACATCACTCTTGTTTCTAAATAAGAATCAGTTGAATTATTTTCTGTAGCAATGCGCTGTGACCTTCCAAATTATCATATTGTGTATGGGCACTAGAATTGGATAATACTCAATGACCTCCCTAAAATATAATACCAACTTTAAATTTTATTCTTAGCGCCATGTAGGCCTACAATTACAAGCACTCACACTGAAGTACCTACTTGAATGGTGTAGTGCCCGGGTTGCGGCGTCCGCCATCTCGTTACCAGGCATAGCATTGCAGCTGCATGGATACACACACACACACACACACAAACTCACATACATACACGCACACACACCCACTCACACTTCATAAGGTTATCATGTGACAAACTCTTGAAAACCTTTTTATATGGATATTCAGTGTTTGTTTTTCTTCTTTTTTGTCTTTATGTTGTGTTTTTGTCCAATCTTAATTTTATTTTATTTTTATGTTAATGAATTATATGATTTTTATGCAATTCTTAAAATTAAATTAAATTAAATGTAATAATTACTGACATATAATAACGCCGTTAATATCTAATGTGTACGTAATGAGTTTCTGTAATTGGCTTTAAGATTATATCTATATTTTATTGTATTAAATTTCACAAAAACCGCTGTAGAAACTTTGTTAAAGATAAATAAATAAATAAATAAAAAGCAGACGCTAAGCACAAGTCTAAAATTAAAAAATATTTATTGAACAAAAGCCCGTATTACATTGTAAACGATAGTTTATTTAGTATCGTAGAACTGTCAATGCAGTAGCTTGTTACTGAATTATGTAGTTGGTTAAGTACTTTTAACTCATAGTTGTAGCAACTCATCTGTGCCGGTAATTTCAATTCAATTCAATTTATTGCACTCATGTGGCTACATCGATGGTTACAAAAAGCTTATAGTACCTAACATGAACCCTGTCAGGGTATCGCAATATACAGTACAGTTAAAGATAAAAATTACAAAAGCATCTAATTAATAAACAGTTATGTACCTATATAAGAAATCTAATTTGTATTAAACCACTTAAATCTCAAATTATGCATAAATGTCATCTGATTCCATTTGTTTAACAATATAAGTTACTCAATTGATCTTATTAACAGTAGAAATATAATAGAAATGGAAATTCATTTATAAAATTAAATTAAATTTGTCAATAATTAAAATTAATAAATATGTCAATAAAAATAAAATAAAAATAAAATAATATGTCAATTAACATGATTATTATATACTAGGTTTGTATTAAAAAAAAAACGCCTTATTAGTATTATTTTGTTGTAAAACCCTTATTACCCCCTTATTAATAAACAAGGAGTAAGCTTAGACTAGTTACGCCGTGTTTCGTTCATGTCACTCAAATGCCATTTGTCATTCAATGAACGGAGACAAAACAATGAATAACTAATCCAAGCCTATTTTTCGTTTGTTAATAAGAGGGATAAGGTTTTAGGCATGGTATATGCATTATCAAATTATATGGTATTTTTTTTAATAAAAATAAATCAAACAGGGTCGTGTAAAATAAAATATGTTTATTAATGTTCATCTTAAGAGCCCTTTTACAAAATTGCGCCGCTGCCGAACTGATCGGCGCGTTGGTAGATCTGCACTAGTATACATTGCATTTTACGGGTGATGTTTCGAGTCTTATAAAATAATTACTAGTGAACTAATTACAAAAATATATACATATTTCAGTAGTTCAATGATGGTAGATTAGTTTTTTGAAAGTTTTTGATAGTAATTCTATTTATTTCAATATTAAAATACGAGGTAAACCTGCATTATTTTTTGGGAAAGCTCACGGAGGTTCGATGTTTGTTTTTGGTAATTAATGAGATAGAAAATTAAAATTCGAATACATTATATTACAATAAAAACATATTTCTGATGTAGTATTAATTAATTTGATCTAATTTTTTGAACATTATTGAGAGATCGACGCGTATGAAGTTGTGCATATAATCGCTTTTTTCTGTAAACTAGCTGCAGTAGAACGATCAGTACAAAAAAAAGAAAATAGTATTTGCAAATATTCTACATTAACATACATAAGGAAGAATAAACCTACTATTTGCTTTTTTTGGAAATTGTCAAAATCTTTTCTAAAGGGGTAAACGAGGCGCTCAAAAATTACGATATTTTGCAAAAAAACTGAAAGGGCTCTTAAATAGAATTCGTAAATTCAGGCTGACGACATTAAAGTAACCACTAACTTTTACGACGATGATAATGCACTTGACAAAAATCACATTTGAGAAAATAAATTAAACATTTACAACAATAGACTGATATAATTTACCGAATGGGTAAAGCGTTGAAAATCCAGGTTATTGTCTTTCTTATGTTATGAGTGCTAACATTAACTTTCTTTGCTCTCAAAATAAAAGTGAATGCTAAGGTTCATGATAATAAATATCACAATAAAACGAGATAAGAATTCTACCAGTACGTGTGTTATACTTTGCCATATCACGAATCAAGTGCAGATTACTTCAGATAAGTCAAAAAATAATAACATATCGTACAACTTTAAATGTAAAGTAGCCCATGCCATGTTGATTTATCACATATATACTAAATATAATGTTAAACTATAAAAAATATTGTAACTATATATTTATATTCTAAATGATGTAATGGAAGGTGACTTCAGACGTATCTCTGAAGTCATTTTTCAACTTGACGACTCTGTATGTAACAATACAGGGAGAAAAAAACAGCCCTTGCTGAGTTTCTTGCCGGTTCTTCTCAGTACAAGGTCTCCCGCCGTAGTTTCGCGAACCGATGGCATAGCTTCTTGACCTTCACAAGTGCTTGTAACAGCCTAGACTGAATAAATGACTTTTCATTTCATATGAAAAGCTCAAGTTGCCTAAGTTTACTGCAAGGTTATTTGAGAAGAAAGTAATTTAAGTTTTCATCAAACAGGACTGTATTCTTTGTGTGTGCCAGATATTATATAAAGATACTTAATGCGTGCTTACATTATTTTCGAGCATATCTCTATCTTTACACGAAATTATTTGACTATAGTTGCAAGAATATTAAAAATATATTTGTGTAGAATCAGTTATGAATAGCAGAATTCAACGATACTTGGAGACAAAATTAGGAATTTTATTTTATACAGCTGTTCTTTAGACAAATTCATTCTGATCCAGATATTAATTGTAACTTTTTCTTCTACTATTATATCTCCGGGTTTCAAATATTCTGTCCAAAATAATTATTGCTTACGTATAGTTTCAAAAAACAAGTATGAATTGAAAGAAGACTTCAGTAGAATGAACAACTTTAATTATGGTTATCTTTCTATAGTTCCTAAAATTCAAGACTGCACAGTTTTTTAATCCATAGTTATCGTTTTTCAAATATATTATTAAAAAAAAAATCTAAACAACTCACCCCACAAACTTAGTCCTATGACTTTTTGGCGGGATCGGGAAGCGTCAATTTAGCAGTTTTGTTTTTCTTGTTAAAAATTATGTTGTGGCGGATGTTAGTGTCTAATAATGGTGGATTATTAACCACTAAATATTCGGGAACATGCACAAGTGTTGGCAAGTGAAACAAAATAGCGGAAAATGTCTTTCGACGTTCCCTCAAGAAGTTCACGGGGAGTTTCCAGTAAATCCCCACACATTTACTGAAACACAGGGAAAAGGGGATTGACTTGACTGCCACCTACTTTGACTTGATATAATACTTTGACCACGAGTGCTATAGAATTTGTTAACATTTTTAACACTTGACATTGGCTAAATGCACAAGCCGTGCGAAGCCATTGAGGAAAAAAAATACTTAGTCCTAAACTAAGCAGAGCTTGTACTGTATAGCGTATTTATTTAAACATAATAAATTTTTAAACAACCATGACTTAGGAACAATTTAATTAATATTAGTGTGAATTTAGGATGTTTAAAGTACAACTAGGTGATTGATTTTTCTAGTACATGTTAAAAGATAACAGTACATGAACTCTGTTTCGTAATAGTTTGCATTAGAGCCAAGTTATGTTTTTTACCTCTATTACCAGACAATACAAACACACAGAAGGCCGTGTCTATTTTTTCACATGTCTACGTCACTCGAAGGTACGAAAGCGAATCTCGCCCAATGTGCGCGCCGCAAGGCGTTCAGTACAATTCGTGCGCTCGCGCAGCTTTCTGTGCGCTACCGGCAACGATACGACCAATCGGAAGCAATGTGGGCATAAAGAAAAATGGTTTAATTTCGCGCGCGAATAACAACCATAAATGGAATTAACCTTTTTTTACGACCGAACCAGTGATCTGAAATTTGAAATTCGAATTTTACCGAACGAAAAAAAAAACAATGAGTGATGAAATAGTGTTGTGAGTGCAAGAAGTTTTTATTATAATGTTTTTTTTTAATATTCAAAAGCAGACCGATATCGTGACCAGTAAATCTTAAAAAAAAAGTTTTTTTTCTAAACGAAGCAATAGATTGAAAACTTCCAGCCTAATTTGTGTATCAAATGTCTGTGTGCTCTGCAGTCACGTCTGTTTAACCATAACTGATTTGGAAATATTATATTTATCTTTCTATGCCGCTTTCTTCTTGGAGGTTTGAATTAGCTGTTTTGCATGGTTTGTCGAACTTCACAAGTTTAAAGTCAACATGACTCAACATTGCCGGCATGTTCTTGCTACATCATCTGCCGTTGACATACAAAAGAGTTTTTAATACACACTCGATTTCTAACTCAGTGCTAACTAATGACAAAGGAAAAAATACGTTTAATTATAAAAAAGCTGACATTAGCAATATTATAATCAAACTAGCTGACCCGGCGAACTTCGTACCGCCTTAGCGTAGCTTTGATGCACTACTTTATTTTGTATAGCTGACCTATCTTATGTATGAGTACCTATTCAATTTTTTTATTTTTCTTTATATTTTTTCCGTAAGAACCTTGTACAGAGTATTAGAAAACTACAAAAAAAAAATCAGCCAAATCGGTCAAGCCGTTTTCATGTTATGTCGTGACAACGGAAAACGGGTTTCATTATTATATATATAGATGACAAAAAGTCTCGAAATAAAAAGAATATAATAATTTTATAACTTGTCAATTAATAAATTGCATAAATTAATTCCTTGTGACACTGAATAAATCACATATTCAATTTACAATTTAGAGTACCTACACGCGTAATAGTCGGGTACGAAATCTTGGTTAGAATTGCAGATAGTGTATTTTTTATTTATTTATCGACACTAAGTATAGTTTCTTTATTGTTAAATTAACGTCTTTAAATTTTAAGTGCCCATATTTTATGTAGGTACACGAGGGCAGATCCCATAGGTACAGAATATATATTTACGTGAAAAGGGTGAAAAATATTGGTTTGTCAACAAATAATAGACCAGCCCCTCTAGCATGACCATTGAAACGGGATATGATAAAGCGATATATCGGCATTAACTGTCAGACTACTATGGAGTTTGACAGTAGTCTGACAGTTAATGTCGATATAGCTTTATCATATCCCGTTTCGGTGGTCATGCTAGAGGGGCAGGGGTCGAATAAGTGATCGTTGACTAGAACAGCTAAAATATGGTCCAATGAATGCACAACGGCAACGGGGAAATCAAAGATTTTCTTAGTAACCTATTAATGGGAATGAGAATGTTGTACAGGAAGAGGTTAGTTCCAACATCTCATTGATGTCAGCTAAATTATCTTCTTCTAATTTCAAAGCTGCTAAATTATTTAATAAACTTTACTTTTAAAATTTGCCATTAACTAAGCTAAGAGCATTACAATAACAGTATTTCTTATGTTGTGAACGCTGCTTATATTATAGTAATATAAGTTATTTACGAGATTGTTACCATGTACCTTGTTTTTAGCGAGTTTCCGATATTTCGGCACTATTGCAAGCGCCATGATCACGGGGTAATTGTAAATAACATATATTACTATAATGTTAGTGACCATAAAAGTTTAAAACAATATGCTGCTTATATTACAATAAAAAATGGTTGCCTGTAAAGTCGGTTTTACGGGCGAAGATTTTACGTGACAACGTCTTTTTCTCGGTAGAATATTTATTGATATGAATATAATTAAATTGCACAATAGGAACAAGGAATTGAATGAAAATAAGAATTGCACAAATTTTAACTATAGAAATATATTTTGTTTACTAAAACATTGTACATGTAAACTTAAACTCATCGTAACGTTACCAAGCGTTACACTTTTTCATAAGTGACTCCCAGCCGCAACCTAATTTAAGACGTTGTCACGTCAAAAAATCAAAGTACCAAGTCCCTGGACAACAAAAAATTGAGAACCATCTAGCAGACTCTAGCGTGAATGAAAGTCTAGCTCCCATTTTTACTCACTGCAGAAAACCATAAACACAATATTTTTAATTGACTGAAGTCTTCTGTGTAATACAGAACACTTCCTCAGACGGGCGTTTATGTCTTTAAGAATGACAGTTAATGTATTACGTACGTACTTAGATACGTAATATTCTTTAAAAATCAACTCGATCATCATTATTATCAGCCTATTAATGTCCCCACTGCTGGGGCACAGGCCTTTCCTATTGATGGAATAAAGCGCAGACCCAGTTCGGATTGGTGGTTGCTAACTACTGCAGATGGAGCCGGGACCATCGGTTTAATGTGCCTTCTGAAGCACGGAGGAGCTCGAGATAAAAAGTTTTTGGTCACCAATCCAATGACCGACCATTGCGAAAGTTGCTTAACTTTATATAATATATTATCAACACAATGAATGTTACGAAAATAAATTACCTTGTATCTTCTTCCTTTATTCGTCAGAATACAGTTAAACTGTTATATAAACAACTTGATTCTTACAATGACAACACTGCAAATGGATGCACACAAAAGGATGGAACGAGGCAAAGCGTGGGCGAGATGATTGATATCTGCGCATGATTTTACCACGTTTCAAAAAATTGTACGAGTAACATTCTTTGTGGCCTAACAAACAATAATGCTGGTGATTATATCAAAGATTGTACACCATGATTTAGTTAAAATGTTTACGTAAGTAGGACTCCAACCAATTAACTTTATGATTGCGCAAAAGTTAATGAAAAAGAACAGGAAAATTGTTAATAACATGAATAATATAAAGAACCTAAGCCTGGCAACGACGAGAGCGATACTTTGGTAACGCAAGCTTCTATGGTAACCGCTGACTACAGCGAGGAAACCATTGTGCACGTCCTCTCTTAAAATACCCATGGCAGTTTCTTTAACTAATTTATGGCAACAAAATCTGAACAGTTTCGCCAGTAAATTATAAAATTAATCATTGATTCTTCTCCCAAGACTCGCAGAAATATCCCCCAAAACAAAACACAGTAAACGCACACGCACGAAATTTTCCCTTGGAAAGTCAACGGCCTTACGAAATCTTAATATGTCTATTAGCGGAACCACACTCCGCTGACCGTCAAACAATAGCCCCTGATACGGAGAGACCGAAGTATTAGACAATGCCATGATTTGTGAGGTACTAGAACTGTTCTTGATACAGTTATATCGTGTCAAGAACATATGGGCAGTCTGCTCTACTCTACAATAGTACTTCCAAACCTTTTTTCTTTTGCGCAAATAATATTTTGATTCCTGTATTATCCAAATGAAATAAGCGCACATGGTGATGGGTTTTTTTTTTTAATTCTAACAAAATAGAGACTCTCCAGTCGGGTCAGTTATAATGTGAAAATTTAATTGATCGCGTTTCATACCATTTCAAAAGGATAGCGTGTAAAGAGATCTACAAGTCAGTTAACTTTGATGATAAAGAAAGATTGAACTTTGAATATTAAAATGGATTACTATTTCTAACGTAAATAATATTTGATGGGGATGAAAAGTTACGATAATGATGACTTCTCACTCTCGATAATCATTCTACACCAACTAAATCGCGTAAAGTAGATCCCACCAAAAACATTCTGTAAAAAACTAGCCAAGTCTCGATGGAGCTGCTTGTTTATCTCTAAAAAGTAATGATATCTAGACAAAGTCGTGTCAAGTCTAAGGTTCCTTACTGCGATTTCTTTATTATTATAGTTAATGTTGTGTGACTTGGCCGTTGAAGGGTACACAAGGGTACAAAACCAAGTGCTACATGACACAGTTCTCTGTCCAAATCTGTACCAAATTTCAGCTCTCTGAGTTTATGGGAAGTTCTAGCTCTATTCTGATGATTATGAGTGAGTGAGTGAGTGTCATCAATGCGAAACTTTGCTTTCGCTAAACTTCGGAACTAAATGATCAACAGACTTGAAATTTTGGATTTTAAGTATGTTATTATAGCTTACTGGATGACGAAAATTTCTCCGTTCTGGTCTTATCCAGAGGTTCTCAAATAGGAGCCTGAAAATGTGGCGAAATGGTTCCAGTAAAGGATGGTACGGCAGTGTTTGCTTCGCGCTCGACTTGGCGGGGCCACTGCCGTGCCCCCCGATACATATTATAAGTTTTAAGCTGAAACAGGAGTAAACGTAAATAAGACCTCATTAATGGCGTCTGACTTTGTTTTTTTAATTACATAACGCAAGTTAAGTAGGTCTGTTAGATAAAATATTATAACGAATCAACGGAGCGTTTCTGTTACTTTGTAATTTTATATGAGGTAGTTAGTATTCAGTGTGCCGGCATGATTTTGATTTAAAAATTTGTATTCATTTTTATTTTAGCTGTGCCCTTCGACGACTCCGTTCGCGAGGATGACGGAAAAAATGTTATTATGAGTTAACCTTGAAAGAAAAATACACATATACTATTTCGTGGCGTCGTTAAAACTGAATGTGACTTCATGAATCATCTCTGAAGTCATTTTTCAACTTGACGACTCTGTAAATGATAAAACAGGGAGAAAAAAACAGCCCCTGCTGAGAGTTTCTTGCCGGTTCTTCTCAGTACAAGGTCTCCCGCCGTAGATTTACGAACCGATGGCTTCTAGACATTCATATGTGCTTGTAACAGCCTAAACTGAATAAATGATTTTGATTATGATTATGATGATTACTCACAATTACGTTATACATGACTTTTTCATAACTTTTTTCTTTTACGCAGCGCATGTAACGAAAGCTCTGAAAATAAATATTTTTTCCCTTTTTCGCAACATTTTTTAATGAATGCTCCACCCCTATTAGTCGTACCGTGACATTATATATTTAGTTGATTTACTTGACGACTCTGTATATAATACAGGGAGAAAAAAACAGCCCTTGCTGAGTTTCTTGCCGGTTCTTCTCAGTACAAGGTCTCCCGCCGTAGATTTGCGAACCGATGGCGTAGCTTTCCGACATTCACAAGTGCTTGTAACAGCCTAGACTGAATAAACGATATTGGATTTTGTTTTTTTTTTTGGAACTAACTATTTATAGTCACTAACATTATAGTAATAAAAGTTATTTACCGGGTTTGTTACCATGTACCTTAGAATTACTCCGTGATCATGGCGCTTGCAACAGTGCCGAAATATCGGAAACTCGCTAAAAACAAGGTACATGGTAACAATCCCGTAAATAACTTATATTACTATAATGGAACTAACTATATGTTTAAACACCTGTTCCGATTTCAAATAGCTTATTAATCTTATATTTCAAACAAAACAAAATGGTAACGTGATTCAGATAACTATTCCTGCCATCTGTCGTACAAAAAGTTAAGTAATTCTAAACACTATCTAACACAAAACGATTTTTTCAATTTCAATCAGTCGTTTATAAGATTAGCGCGTTCAATCAAACAAAGAAGCAGCTTTGTAATATTAGATATAGATATGCAAGTGTCTAAAGCAGTGTTCCCTAACCTTTCCAATACTGCTACCCCTGTAACCTATTAGGGAAACAGATTTTACCCCGACTTTAAAATTTTATCATCAGTCCAAAAAATCCAATTTGGCCGTTACATCTTCGTCTCTAATAATGTCATCATCAGGAGAGAATCTCGCCCCGCTTCCCACACTCAGCACCCCGCGGGCTCACTAGCAAGTAGGAGCGCATGCTCTATTTAGTAGAATTATTTAGATTTGACCAAATAATTAGGTTCTTTGTTACCCCCGAAGTATGGCTGATTTACCCCCGGAGGGGTAATTACCCCCAGGTTCGGAACCCAGGGTCTAAAGTTTATGCTTACCATCGAGTGGCAAATATGTCTAATTTGCACCATATAAAAAAATGCTTAGAGTTAGTGACACCATGGAAATTGACACACATCCCACAACCAATCAATCAAGGTTTTCAAAACATAAAACACTTACATGCTGTATGGTGTTAGTAATTTTTAATATATTAATCATTGTCTGTCGGGTTATAATTGGTACATACATGCACCTACGTTAACGTCAATGTTTGACATTGAAATGTTTAATTATTAGCTATCATTTATTAGTGAGCACTAAAAGTGATCCTTAATCATCTACCTACTACTAAACTTAGTTACTGAATAAAATAGTTATAAGAAATCCATTAATGCTTCACATGTGTAGTCGAGGTCACTTGATTTTAGAAATTTAAATTTAAAAACCTTTGCGATTTTATATCCGTGGTTTTAATTAATTATGTTTTTTACATTGACAACGGAATACTACTTCTGAAGCATCCTCTGTCATTCCGTCCGGCCGTCTGTCAGTCTGCATCATTGCATGTTACATAATAGAAAGATACTTGAAATTTTCACATAGTTATTATATTTCATTCTAAACATTCACATAAAAGGTGTTTTGGTGTTTCACGCTTCTGATTGTAGTCTCTACAAACATCAGTTAAATGACACAGATGTTTGTATTGTATTGTATTTCATATGAATCTTTGCATCTATCTTATAGTCAAGTCAAAGTGACCGCTTACCATCAGCTGGGTACAGTGTTGCCAATGATACGGGTGATACGGCAATTACCGTATACTACGGCTTTTTGATTGAAAATCTAGGCTTTTAGCAAAACAATGATATTGTCACAATGTCGTACTCACCTTTTCAACACAATTTTACCGCACCTCTACAAGATTGTCATTGATCTCCCAATGGTGGCCACTCACCATCATACTGCTGATGAAGCCAAGATCCTTCCGTCAAGTTACATATCCTTGCAAAATGTCTTTCTACACACGGTCAGATCAAGCTACTTGATCAAGCGGCAGGATGGTGAATAGCCAACATAACTTGCAGAACAAAAATTTATGAAGCTGGCAATGTGTGTATTCGATCGAACTAATTATAGGATTTTGATTTACTAATTCTAGGGCATGCAAATCGTTATTAACCCGGGCGCCAGGTTTCACAATGTACCCCTTTTAAAAGTATAAAAGTTTCCATTTTTGGTTTTGACACGGCCGAGCTCAGATTTATGTAGCCATGTCTTGGGCGTGTCATATAGACACGGCTTGATTGTCGACTTTACACGACCGGCTGAAAATTTTCGTTGGCAACGCAGGCTGGGCCCACCAAAACTTTCTGAATTTATAAGATCAATTTAAGATTCCGAAGTCGACAGTGTATTATTCATTTCATTTGCTTTTATTTACAACTGGTGGCCCGCCCTCGCTTTGCTTCGGTGTAGAGCTGTAGTGTAGACTATAGTTTTTGTTCAAAGACTTGTATTAAACATAATGACTTTCATCATAATAATTATAAACCTTCCATTCCAAGTAAAAAATACGTTGCGTAGTTTAGGACCCGTTGTACCGAATGCAACATTTCTCTGCTGTTCCGATTTGAAAAAATCTTTTTGTATTGGACAATGCATTGAGCGAGAAAGGCTATAAGCTATATATTACCAGGCTACAACCAGAAGCAGCGGAGCATCGATGAAAAATGTTGCAAAAACGGGAAAAATATGATTCCATTTATGAGATTCCGTTGCGTGCGCTGGGTAAACGGTTAGAGTTACACAAAAATCATGCATAACGGAATTCTTGCCCTTCAAAAGTTCTGTAAAAAAGTCCACGACAACCTATCCGTCCGTATTTTAAGTTTGACTCACTATAAACCTTTTTCTTCAAATTAACGCGGGTGAAACCTCACGTTGTGACATAGCTGTAATAGTTAGAAATATGGTATCGCAGACTTTTTTGCAGATATTGGTATCTACTATAAAACTTTAGTATATCACTTTGCTCTATTGTCAATGACTTCCGCAGCGTACGCGATATAAGGCTATCTTTTGGTATTTTTTACACACGTTGGGTTACAATATCGAAGATTTCAACTTTTTTGAAAATACACTAAAACCTATATTAATCAGTATTATTATATATTTTGGATAATGTAGCATTCAAAGGTGAAAGAATCTTAAAAATCAGTCTAGTACTTTTTGAGCCATTTCGTTACAAACATAATAACATACAAATCTTTTCTCTTTAGAATATTAGTATAGATGTACTTTGATGCAGCTTTCTACATGCGTAATTGTTACGACAAATGTTTGCTATGTCTCAATACTTTGTCGATCAACAAGGATATTAATACTCTCATTATGAAAGAATATCATACGGTCATTTATAAAAACATAATAGTAACCATTTAAAATAACTTCTTTCAGATAAAGTCATCACAATAGGTGACAAAATATGTATGGGCGTAACGTACAATATATCAACACTTGTGAGAACATACGTATGAAATAAATGGTAACAATGCGTTATGAAATGTTAGACAAAGGGGAAAGTATGTCAACCAACATTGTTGTGTCTGAAACATAATACAGGCTTGTTGCTACTATATTCGGTAGATTTTATTGACGCCCTACGCAAAACAGCTTCGCAGACTTCCAAGAACTTTGCTCGAATTAACATAAATCTAAATTACTTTGTAGGTATCACTTTAAATTGTTAAAGTTATGAGCCCCGATAAAACAAAGGCCGAAGTGGTTTCAAAGTTAAAGTTTTGACAATAAAACTTTTCAATCAATTTAAATAGCAGCACTTTAAAATAGACCGCTCGCAATAAGTAGTTAACGCGGAGGCAATCATCATTATGTGCGCTGTAACAATGTAATGGCAAGTAGAACTGTGAGGAGGGTGAAACGAGGCAAGGGTAAAGAAAACACGATTAACATACCAGATGCTGAAGGACACCTCCCAACGATAGTAGTTACCCCTCCAGACAAAACCGATATGAAGGTCACAGCGAAAAGAATTGTCGATGACAAAAACAAAAAGAAAGTCAATGCCCCTACAACAGAAACAAACCAAGCATCCACCTCAGGGAACAATCAAGTGATGAACATGGCTAATTTCAATGTCAATCAACTGATAGCAGAGCTATCCGAGAACTCGAAAGCGTCAAAAGGGGAAATCGAACATATACAAAGAAGACTTCTGCAACAAGCAAACGAAATATTGAAAGTAAACGCTTTCGCCAACAACACGGCGCCAGTACCAGAGCCGCGAGTGATAGACTGCACGCAAAAGTACAGCAGCACCGTATACGGCAGAATACCTGTCGTCGTAACCAGAAATCAGGTACCACAAGTAGTCGCGCAAAATCGCAAAGAGCCATCGGCCCAAACCCTGCCTAATGCGAACATGGCCGTCGGCTTGAAGGCCGTGGCGCGACCGGACAATCAACTTAACGACACTCAACTAGTCCCAGAGAAACTGCAAGAAAATTCCGCGCCATTCCCCGTGGATAATGCTGGTGCAATGATTAATAGCGGCCAGGGTAATATGCAAAGGGTCGGCACGTCGTCCGTGGACGCGGGAAGAGGTGTTTTTTTCTACGAAACGGGTTATGCGCAGCGCGCCGATGCCAGTGCGCGCGCCGCTCCGACCAGAGGTGAATGTCTTGATAAGTTTTTAAACAAATTCCAAATTCATACCATTTTTAAGCGTGCTCAGTGTGTTCGTGGTTAAGTTTTTTCGCTTTATCGGGCATTTCGGTTTTGTGTTTTCGGTGCGTTCGGCTTTCGGGTTCTCTGGAAGCGCCCGATTGATTTTGATGTCTTGATTAATACTTGTGCCGTGTGAATGGGCGAAAGTCGAAAGCTCGTGTCTCTCGGGATGCCGATGACTCGATTATTGTGTCCATAACGGTTATTTCATCCAGTGGTTCATTGTGTATCGCCGATAAGCCGGTATGTCTGTCCTTTTTCTATTCTTTATCTAATTTTAAACAAGTTGTAGCCAGCTTGCATGATTTTATAGTCACGTGATCTACTATAAACTTGATCGAAGTGAGCTTGTATCCGCGCAAGCACAGGTCTAATAGAATTATTACCCTTATAAGTCAGATCACGCGCAAGGAATGTTATGCAGTAGGAAAAGTTGAAGTTTTGTCATATCCTCGGGTTTACGTAAGCTTTAATAAATCAAACCAGTTTTGCTTGTAGCAAAAGTAGCGAATTAATGGATGCAAAAGTGTTTACTTTTAAAAAGGCCCCGTTGTTTGATACATAGATAAGTTTTACTGTTACACAATATCTCGTCAGAAACATAATAAAATGTGTCAAATTTTGAGAAATGGTTACTTGTTCTATACTATTTTAAGTATAGTCACATTTTACTAATGTATCAAACAAACGCGACCTTAGTTATTTCTATTATATGTGAGTTGATAAAGCTTTCTCTACTTTTCGAAAAGTAAACAAAAATTTATGTTAGTGGTGATAAAAATAAAAGCTTTTTGGTCACAAAATAGTGCTTAAAAGATTATTATCGTTAACAGTACGGCTGCCCAAAACCAAAACACTGTAAGGCCCAATACAGTAAAAATAAATTTTTAGCTGTCCTGATTTACTTGTTACTCTCTATAAAATGGTCTGGTCCTCGTAGAACTACGTCGCCTTGAGTCTGAATTATTTTAAGAAGTTTAGACTTAGTAACATACAAAACATTGTGGGTTACCTACAATGCGAAGAGATGGCGCTGCCTTGCAGCTTAAGGCTAGGAAAATTTCGACGCGGCTAATAGGGCCGTGGTAGCATAATGGTCAGTGCATTCGCCCGGATAGCGAGGATGCGGGTTCGAGTCCCGTCCGCTGCCTGGTCTGGGATTTTGTTTCTAGTAAACTTTTCTTTAGATTTAAACATCTAGCAGTTAAATGCTTAAAATAAATAAAATCATAAATACAAAACAGCATGCATAAAAAACCATATCGAAAGTAAGTCTCAGAAACTATATCAAAACACAGTATGAGACTTAGGTATTTCGTGGTTTTACTAGGTTTTGATTTTGTTCCTGTGACATACGTGGTTTTCGGTTTGGTTTTACCGCCGAAATTGTGCGACCGTTACATAGTTACACTCACATATTCAAAATAAATGCGAACGGACACTCGCGGAAAGTAATTTGCCGTGTAATTTGTCGCGAGCACGTTGTTTTTGTTTCGAACCGGCACATACTGTATTCTACTAAACTACTGAATACTAAACTACTCTTTGGTCTATATCTCTATAGATAGTCTGAAACACGGGAAAGGACATTTCATCCTATAAATACCCTCATAAGGGGAACAAAGTAGCGGACCCCACTAGTTTTTTATACTTTAATTTAAATTAATTTTGTTTCTTTTTAGTTTCATTAGCGTCTATCTCGCCAAAGACACAAAAATAAATTATAATCATTTTAATATTTATTAATTATTTAATTTGAATTTGAATTGTACTAACATAGTTTTAAGCTTCCATTGTTACTAACACTTTAAGGACTCTGGTTCTAAATAAACATATTTTATTTTATTTTATTTTATTTATTTTCTTAGTACATACTTATTCTTTCAGTTCGATAAATGGAAGGTTAAGTAGCAGCAGACGTTAATTTATTTATTTATTAATGTAGCTTACCGTGTTTTGGATTTGGGCAGCCGAGTAGTACATATCGAATCGAAAGTCAATCTATGAATACTCAAGACCTTACTTGCAAACGATTATTACATCAATTTTGATTGGACTAATTGTTGTTTTTAATTAATACCATAATGGTGTCGATTCTAGCATGATTCTCTAAACCTAAACTTAAATTTGACAGCAGTATATCCTTGTCGTCCTCTATACAGAATGAAAAGGAGAGACTGATGTTAAATTTAGTTTTAAGTTTAGGGAATCACGCCAGAATTGACATCATTGAATAGTTTAATTCGAATAACTCCCTTTATCTTTACAACAAACGTATTATTATGGGGCCAGTCATTTCTCACTTTCTCATAAACTTACTTATTAATAGGACCTGTACCCAATAAAATATCCATTATATACAAATCTCGAACTCTATGATAAAATATTATGTACACCGTCGATTGTCACCTATTCCGAGGTCTTGCATTCAAATTCCGTTAGGGGCAAAGGTTTGAATGATGCATACGAATACTTTTACCTGAATCATGGCTGTTTATATAATATATTTATTTTAAAATATACGTTACTATAGCTCGATGGCGCATTTGGTTAGCGCGTTCGGCTGCGTTTGTTGAAGTTAAGCAACTTTCGCAGTGGTCAGTCATTGGATGGGTGACCAAAAATTTACTATCTCGAGCTCCTCCGTGCTTCGGAAGGCACGTTAAGCCGTCGGTACCGGCTGCATCTGCAGTCGTTAGCACCCACCAATTCGCACTGGGCCCGCGCAGTGGGTCATGGACCAATCTCCCTATTCCATCCATAGGGAAGGCCTGTGGCCCAGCAGTGGGGACATTAATAGGCTGATGATGATGATGATATTACAAATCTGATAATCCCACAATAGATTCTACATTGCATGAAAAAGCTAGAGTCCATCGATAAAAAAATAATATATGAAATGAAATTAAACTTTATTCAAATTGGCTTATTGAAAGCTTTTTTGAATCGTCCAATGTTTTTTCCTACCGAAATGATGTCCTGGATGGGTTTCAGAACATCTTTTAGCTTATGAGTAGAGCTCAAGAAACTTATCAGCATTTGACAGAAGTAGAAACCTTTTATAAGAAAAAAAAAACATATCGCTAGAATAGGCTCAAGAAACTCATCAGCATTTGACAGAAGTATAAACCTTTTTTTTATGGTAATCATACCATACCAGTACCATATCTTCCATCAGGGACCGTGATTGTGACAAAGACCCCGGCGTAGCACCGATACACCCTATTGCCTCAGACAATGGTTCGAATGTGTGTCGTGAAGCGTCCACAATGGAACCATGTCGCTCCACAAGTTGTGGCAAGTGAGTCGTGTCACCGGCCATTGCTGATGCAAGGCTAAAAGATAACTTTGAAGCTATTGTTCTGGTTCTTACACTCTTCAAAACAATAGATCGTGAACGTTTGTTAATAATTATTATTTACTAGTGGCCCGCCCTCGCTTCGCTTCGGTGTAAAGCTGAAGTGTAGACTACAGTTTTTGTTCTCAGGCTTGTATTATACACAATGACATTCATCTATGATTCTTCTTATACCTGCATGCAAAGTTTCAGCCTGATCGGTTTAAAAATTGACAAAGTTTCATACAAACTTTCATTCCCTATTTGATCCCCTTGGGGGAAGAATTGATCAAAATCCTTTCTTAGCGGATGCGTACGTCATATGCTAAATTTTAGCCCGATCCGTCCAGTGGTTTGGGCTGTGCGTTGATAGATCACTATGTCAGTCAGTCAGTCACCTTTGAGTTTTATATATATAGAAGACTAGCTGTGCCCCGCGGTGTTACCCTTGGTTTATTAGGGATATTTTCCCGCAGTAAAACGTAGTAAAATATGTTAATCAAGGGTGTCAGCTAACTCCATACCAAATTTTGTTTAAATCGCTCCAGCCGTTTAGACGTGAAGAAGTAACAAACATAAACACTCAATACGCGAACGAAAAGCTTTCAAAGCTTTGATGGACATTTAAGGCATCCAAAGAGAGGTAGGGCGTAGCGGATTCCCCGCTCAAGTTGCAGCGCCTGCCTGAGAAAATAACCTCGACCTTATAGAAACTCACAAGAAAATAACACTTCTATTTGCTGATGTTGTGTTTCTGTTGAGGAGTAAGTTCCAGGGCTCTACGGGGTAAGGAGTCTGGGTTAGTTAAGGTAATAAGGAACCTACGCCGTCATGTCCGGCAGAGAAGGGCACATTCCGGAGTTTTCTTGGGTAGGGCCTCCATCCCGAGCAGCCACTGAGCCATCCCTGCGGGAGGCTGAGTGGGTGCACAGGTGGTGGGGGGAGGAGTCCCACATAACCCCGTCGCCTTACCCAGCGACGGGATATGTGTCATGCATTACTATTTGTCAAAAAAAAAAGGATTAGTAAAGGTTTTTTTTTTTAATCTTAGGTTATGAATTGAGGATCGATTAATATTAAATTTCAGTAAAGTAGTTTTCCTTTTTACGCAAGGTGGCCTAAATTTCCACCTGAGGCCGCCTTTGATACTGCCAGAGGTAGAAACGTGAGCCGGGGGATAGAGCAAGAAAGATTTAAGAAAAAGAAGGGAAAGAAGGCTTATTTAGTTTAGAAAAAGTATAAGAAACGGAAAGTTTAATTTTTTTTATATTGCATGGGATGGTGATAAGCAGACGGGCCCCGGCCCGACCAGTTAATGAGAGGAGGATGATCCACAAGGTTAGTAAAGGTTAGGTTAGGTTAGGTTAGGTTAGGTGGGAGTGATATTTTTGGTATCGCGAGAGGTTATAGGTTATGGTAGCCGCTTACGATCAGCTTGTATACAATCCTTTTAACGTAAAAAACCAAGTAAGTTTACTTGCAAGTACACCCATTCAAGTGTCAAGATGCAAATCGCCAGTAAAACGGTTAAATTGTGACCTTCACCAGCAAAAAAGTTGCTTTTGTTATAAAATAACACAATCCAGTTTGGTTCACCTTACTTTTCAC